TAGCCAGTAGGTCACGCTCCCTGTTCCCCCGGCTGAAGGAATTCTGCCGACGAGCTCGGCGGCGGAGTAAAAATGAATAAAATGCAAAGTACACCGTCTAATCGTACGTGCTCCAGTTTCGTGCCGGGGGCCCGACGGGACGGGAAGAGACCGTCCGCGATTTATGCGCTACCGTAATATTTCTCCTTGCTTCCGGGATCCTTGACCCGGATGAATTTGTCAGCTGGTGGAAGAGACCGCCGCGAGTGCGAGCCGCCGCCGCCACCGTGAAGATTCCTTGGTGGTCTCAGACCGTGCTCTCCGGGAAGAAAGCTGCTCCACTTTCCTACATTCTAAGCCGACTCGCGTCTAGAGTAGGTCGCGCAGCGCGCCCCCGCCGCCTTCCTTCCTGGGTTCGCGGTATTTTGCTCATTCGAGAACGACCGGATCCGAGTGTCTCGGAAGGAGAGCTTCTTTCGGGAGCCGGTTCCGTTTGATTAGATTGCGCGGCGCGGCTTCGCGATCCATTTAGATTATTATTTATCTACTTCCGTGAATTTACTATCGAAAGAACGTCCGATCGCGTTCGACGGATGAATCCTTTGGGTAGACGTAGATTCTCATGGATTAAACGCTAGGAAATTGAAATTCGAGAGATGTTTATCGAGACTAGGGATTGTAATTAGAGGTAAAAGGCAATGAGGATTGTAGATTAAAAATTCCGTCGCTTTCGTTTAATCGTTCCAACTCGAGGCACGCGAAGTATTCATTTATATTCAGCGAGCATGGTCGTTCATCGAGCGAACAATCACATATTTCTGCGCCGGAGTTTATATTTACAAATGTTTTCCCGGGCGGCGTGCCAATTTTCTTTGGAACTTAATAAAAACAACTGCAGTCGGCTGCGAGTTTCTAGCAGGGCAAGAGAAACTTCCGAGAACCACCGGGGGTCAGGACGAGGGTTAAAGGGCACGGGCGTTCAAGAAACTACTCCCGGAGGGCCTACGGTCCGCGTTCCGCGAAGAAAAAGACATCGGGAACGGCGCTCCGCGAGATGTGAAGCAGCTTTGTCTCTTCCGATCCGGAGGCGGCGCTATTTCTTGGCTAAGAGCCCCGGCGTAATCATTCTTTCGAGATAACGTTGACTGTCTCCGGAGCGGACCGATAAATCTCCCGGGCCGGTAACGTACGGCGGGACGTGTGAACAGAAACGTACTTACGCCCGAGTAGTCCTGCATCGCCTTCGGATGCGAGAAAACGTACATGTAGCTCTTCGGGTTCGCCCTTGAATGTAAATTCGCGGTCATTATTAATGGGGCGACGGTACCGCTGTCGGAGAGCGCCTCCAGCACCAGATCCCGATTCTTCGTCGCGTACTCGTTCGTGTACCCAGCCGAGAAATCGCCGTATTGTTCCAGAATCTTTGATAGAATGAGCTCCGGTTCCAGTTCGTGCGTCGCCTGCCGACCAAGAAAATATCACGTCACTTCTCTCCCCGCCGGAATGCATACCGAATCGAGAGAAATTCACTTCTCCCGCGAACACTTCTCCGCGGAAAATTTATTCAACGGTTCTTTCGATCCCTCGCAGACGATCCGTCTTCTCGCTGCACAGACCATTTTTAAGTAAATTCCGCGCGCCGCTTTGATCGAACGAAAGACACTCGCGAAGTTTAACGGCGATGATGGTTTATTAACCCCTTGACCTACAACGAGTGAGACTATTGGTGAAGATTTTCAACAAATATATATATTACTCAGTTCATTCGAATTCAAAGTGTGTATTATCACTCTGTAATCAACTATTATACTCAAAAGGAAATATATTAATATATATATTAACGAGAAAGTATCGATCAGAGTTCAAAAGGAAATCATAGGCCAAGGGGTTAATAAAGAAAGGGTAACATCAAATTTGACAAATAGGACTCAGAAGACTTCTATGGTTTCTATAGACTCTCAAGGTGTTCTCTCATTGATCGATCTTCACATACTGCCCATTTTCTCAGTTTTTATCGTGTACCTTTAGAAAGTACACTCTTTCATCCTCTTCTCGCGTTTCCTGTCGACTAAGAAAAATCCTATACAAACTTTCGGAAATTCCCCACAAATTCATGCGTTCAGAAATGCTCGTTTATTGTCAGTTTCAATCACTCGTCACCCACACGCAAACTTTTGCAAGCGTCAAAAAATCCTGTATCGATAAAGTATCAATTAAATCTCTTTTAATTTGCACAAATTCGGATAAACAAATTTAGGCTCGTCTCATACCTTCGCGTGATCCCTGAGCACATCGTCCCTTTGCTCGTCCAGCATTCCGTGCAACAAAGCAACCGGTGGCAGAATATGAAATTTTTCCGACTCAGTGACACCATACATCAAATCGAACCTGGGAAAACGAAAACTCAATATCGCGCGGACTTCCTGCCAGGCTGGCTGCTTGGATCAAACGCAATATCAAGAGTCAAACGTGTTCTATGTCGTTTCGAACGTGCGCCATTGTACGCGGCGCTTTGTCTCTTGATTCCAAGCTACCGTAGCGGCTCCATTGCGTTTGTATAATTAAAACTTAACCGGATTTCGCCCGTGTCCCCGGAGAAAATGAATTCGCGTGACGTACCGTGACACGGATTACTTTTAATCGATGGGAACGGATGAAAGTATAAATTTAAGATCGGCGACGTTAAAAAATACTGAATTCCTCGAGACGAATGCGTTGAAACTTAATACTGCATCTTTTACATAAAATAAATCTAAGATTGTCATTCAAATATAAAATATTCCCGAGTCCGTCATTTGTCCACATAGCAATTTGATTCACTGAATCGCGAAAAGGGTCAAATTGCCAATAAATTTACGACGAGGTTTCACTGTTGCGCGTAGGATTTAGAAGGTACAGCATGCGCGCACATCGTACCTGCCGAACAACTGGGAGTTTTTCATTAAAGTCAGAGGCTTGTCCGGGACGACAGCGTTATCGATCAGCGGCGCGAACGCGGGCACGTATTTCGGCTTGTGAATCTTCACATCCAGCAGCGTGTTCACGTCCTGGTCGCGCAAACAGAACGCCAGGTCGCTGTCGGTCGTCGTAGGACAATTTAAGGCGTGCGCCACCTAGAAAAATGAATCGTACCATTTCTCACCGGCGCAATGAACGTTCCTGCGATCGTGTTTTCTCCATGGCCGAAACGATGGAGCGATATATTTCCCGGTGTACGTGTTCGAATCGCGATGGCGCCTTATCCGCTTCAATTTCGTTTCTCTCTTTTTTTTTTGTCAGAATCCGCGAAACAAGCCGCGCGCGTCGACGCCGAGGATATTGGAATTTTATTCAACCTCATCTTCCGCGGATCTCCGAGAGAACGAGGATCTCGGGTTGCTCTATTTCCCGAAGAAGGAGATGCTCACCTGTTTGGTGATTTGCAGGGGAGCCTTTCCAATCGCGTCCGCGCTCGACGCTGATCCGGACATCAATATCGCCCGTTTAAACAGACCTGGACACACACAGAGGAACGTGAGAACGATTAATAACCCGACCTCCCTCGGGATCGGGGGCTTTCCCTCGTAAAATATTAAGTTCGATTATTTTTCGTTGCACGATATAATTATTGACCGGACACGCCGGCATTGTGCCCCCGGTCGGCGGCGGGATGTTCCCTTCCGCCACCCTCGCCACGGCTGAAAAATGATCGTCGTCCTTCTTTTCAACGTTCCCCTTTCCTCGATGGTTATGCTCCTCTTTCACGACCTCCCTCGGGAGTATGTGGGTCCGCGTAGGAGATACTATGTCTCGGAAACTCCATACGGTCGCGGTTCTTATGCTTCCGAGCGCGGTTGTCGACGCCTGCAGAGGTCGTTCGGCTTATGATTGAGTTATACTACTTGAACGAGTGGTATAGTAAATATAGGAGCCTCCATTTGTTGAATGATACTTCTGGAATTTATTTATGCCTCTATTGGCATTCCGAGAAATACAGGGAAAGGAGTGAAAGTCTAATTGTCAAATATGAGAAATTGGTTATTGTGAGAATGAGCTGTACCACTTGACATTGTAGATTATATATATAGAGCTTTGGGATAATTAAATAACATTGGTATTGATCAGTTTCGCGATTAAAACTGTGATCCTATATTAGAATTCTATATACATATAACTGTGTTTTATCCTCGTCTGATTTAGAATTGAGTTGTACTACTGTCGAATTATATAACACGAATGCCATGGGGGTCACCGGTGAATAACCAAATCGAATTACCATAGCTCACTCAGTTGAACTATGATTGTTTGAAAACATTTCTATATTATAAAAAATGCTGTCTAATGCGGTGACATCCGGCTATATGAACGTGCAGTAATAATAATTCAAGTCAATCTAATGATATAATATTATACTTTTTCCATCTTCTGTATTTTGCTCTATGAAATCTATGAAAATATATATATAAGGTTACAGATTATATAAATAACATTGTCACATATTGTTCAGTATATAACTAAAAACTGTGATTCTAATATAAAAATTACATTGCCTGTAACAGAGGTATACTACCTCTAAGTTATTTGTACTCAGAATAAAAATTTTCAAAGCTTTCATGCTTATCGTCGAATGTTTAAGGTCCCTAATAAAATGTCGCACGATTATCGTTCCAATGCTCAGATATTCTGCTTCCCCCCTAAACTACATCGAATGCCGCATTTTTTCAAATCACGGACCAACAGGCACACCCTTATCGATACCGCGAGAATGTTGGTTACGTGTTCCCCTAAAAGCTTCCCCTTGATATTCAGGGATCGCAGAAGTCGCAAACACGCGACAGCGCAATAACCGTTACCTTTCTTATTAGCCACAGGGCTGATAAGCAGCAGATTAGCAAAAATGGCGCCGGTACCGTGGCCGACCAGTGTAACGCTGTTCGGATCGCCACCGAATTCAGCGATGTTCTCCCTGAGCCATAATAACGCAGCAATTTGATCGAGCAGCCCGAAATTGCTCGCCGTGTCGTCCCTGGTGCCTGGTCTCAAGAAACCTGCAACGAGAATCGCATAAACGAGACGGCATCAGTTAACACTACAATTGCCGCACGGCTCAAAATGAGCCATTTTGAAATTCTTCCCTTGCAATTATTGAAAATACAGATGCTTCTCGATGAATGATGAAATTGATTTAATAGTACGCAAACTGAATTCTAAATCACATGAAATCTCAATAGATACTTTTGGAGTTTATATAGAATTAGAATCCAATTTTACTTAACCGTAATCCAGTATTAAACCTAGTCAAGACTGACAAAACATAAGACTTGAAACAGTTCGTAGACAGTCTGCTTCATTCAAATCTTTCTAGAAGAAAAAATTTCAGCCAAAAATTTGTCCTGTACTGTTGAACCGTGGCTTAAAAACTGTTATAATATCGAATTCGGTACTCGGAACAGTACCCTTTGTTCCAAATATTACAAAGGACTGTTGCGATGAACCTAAACTTCAGATCCCGTAAATTATCCAGAATAAAAGTTCCCCGGAACTATTCCCATTGAAACGTTCAAATAACAGTTCGAAAGAATCACTCTCCGAACGGGCTTCAACGTCCCTCGCTGTCAGCCGACTGTCTACAAACAATCCTCTCAATCCGCGCCAGCCCGCCCCCGCGAGTTCCACGTACGAACAACGAACTCATTGAAACGAATCGTTCTCTCCGGAACAATATCCGCCGTTTTATAAATCAACCTTAACTACCCCCATTAAAATATCGAGATGCGTTGGTAGGAAAAATAGCGGCCTATTCCGCACGCCAAGAAATCAGCTCGGAACGTAAACTACCCTCGTGCTCCGCGATCGTTCTTTTTTACTCGTGCGAGCGGCGCGCTGCCGGCCATATTTTTCCTCTCTTGTTTTGCGAAGGGCTGAAGTTATCCGCGGACTTCTCGCGAGCTAACTGTGCCCGGCCGCGGCGGGGCCGGGGGGCGGGACGGGTGAAGTTAACTAAGCGCCTTCCCAGCACTTTAACCTAATTTATGATTATGGTTCCGCGGCCTCCTCTTCCTTTTTTTTCCTTCCTCTCCGCCGGCCGCAACTCTTAAAGTACCCCCACTTGTCGGATACGGCGCGCCGCGCCGCGCCGCGACGTCCGTCCATTTGCATCGCGCGGCGGGCTCGCGTTATCATTTCAGGAGAAAGGATAGCACGGAAGCGTGTCGTTACGGGGGTCACGGACGCCGGAAGGAGGCGGGACAAGGAAAAAATGGACCGGCTCGCGGAAAAACGGCGGGGATCGATGGGGAAGTTTCGGGAGCGAGGAGACGCCTTTGTCTCGGCGCCTCTCTCGCCGGGCGAAGTTTCCTTTCGCGCGATATGAGAACGCGACGGTGGGTCGCGCGGAATTTTACGGTCGCGCCGCGGAATCGTCGCGGCTTTTTCGTCCCGGGAATAATGAACGGCAGTTTTTCTTCGGCCGTTCAACGCTCCGCCGCGTGATTAAACCCGAGAAACCGGGAGAGCGCGGAACGAAAACTTCGCGGGAGATGCGGAAGTGAACTCGAAATAAACATCCGCGGGCACGTTAACCGAATATCGATAACCCGGTCGTTATTCCGGGGAACGTAAAACCTTCCTCTGTCAGCCCTAAAGCTGCTGCGCTCCGCGTGCACCCCGATTCCGGGGATGCTACGAAAATTACTCGAATTTCCATACGGGCAGAAATTTGATGCGGGGATCGAGGCAGGAAATGCGCCGGACGATAAAAATTCCTTCGGAACTTTCGAGAGTTCGGAACGGCGAGGAGCCGGACTATTTATACGAGTGGACTGTAAAAGGTATTGGAACGGCGGCGCGCCCCGGTTCGCGGTAAGATGACGGGTCGATAGACAGTTGCCGGCGAGGAAATAAAAAGGAGCTTGTCGAAGATCAAAAACCGATGGCGCAGCGGAGCGCGAACGTTAATGAAGCAGAATTCCTGATTTCATGCTAGACTGCCGGCTACGGGGCGCTCCGGTAAGATTTCATAAATTCGCGTCGGGCTTGTTCCACATTTCCTGATGAAATTTCGGATCCGAAACGATTACAGTTTGCGTTCCCCCCCTCTGTAATCTCTTTATCGCTTCCCATCATCTTCCCCGTCCCTGTCGAGACTTCGCGAAAGAGAGCCGTGAACAGCTGACTTATACCACCGGGCCCGATTTATCGAGCAGTTCCGCCGGAATGCTCCCGGTCATTAGGTTTTATCCGCTTACCGAGGATGCCTAAACGGAAGTTGATGGTGACGAACACGACGTTCCCGTAAGCTGCCAATATTGTGCCGTCGTACGGGTTGCCGCTGTTCCACTCGAAGCTCTCGCCGTGTATGAACACCATCACCGGATATTTCCGCAGCGGTTTCTGTCCTGGAACGAAAAATCCCCGCATTAATGAGCGGGAAAACATCGGTTCGGCTGGCGCACGCGAAAAGCGTTTAAACATTCACGGAATTACGGGAGCAACATTTCCGACGAGCGTTAGGCTCTCCCGAGGGAGCCGGCCGCCGGCGGAACGCACCGCCGTTCGCTTATTAACAACCGCGATGTTCCGGCTTGAATTACGATTTCTACGAGAGCGTCCTCGTTGTCAGCGGTTTTTCGCGACGGTTTTTGATTTACGTCAGCCGAAGAATTATCGGCGGAGTTCGGCCGCGGGGAGGGCGTCGCGCACGTGAAGTCAGGTCAGTTCCCAAAATTTATCACCCTCCCCGCTGCCCCGCTCGTCCGGCGACCCTCGCACGCCATCCTTGTTCCCAAAACTATCCGCCGTGAGTTTTCGGTATTAGGGTGTCTATAAATTCTTCTCTCCCATCCTGTAGACGACGTAGTTTCCTTTTACTGAACGATCCACAAATTAGACTAGAGCGAGCCGCCGGCCACCGCCGCCCGCCGGCCCCTGCGGCTCTCGGGATTTATTGGTGAGTCTGTTTTACGCGATTGTAGTTTCCGCCGAGGAACCAGCTTCGCGCTGACATTTGAATACAGCGTCGATTTGGAACCCCTGCTCCGCCGTATGCACGCGCTGCATCCTTAAGGTACGTTTACAGCGCGGAGGAGGTAAGAGGAACGGTCGATCGCGGTTGGTTTATTATACGTCTTGGCGCATTTATGGTTGTGTTGTGGTGATTGCGTGGTTTCTGTTATTGATACTATCGAGGCGAACGAGGGAGAGCGTAATTGATTCTCGGAAACGATCATAATTATTGCAATAGTAATAACAACAATAAAGTAACTAATCAATTGTAATAATAGTGAATAATGAATGATAATAATTATTATCATTGATTTCATGTAAATATTATTCATGCTCCGAGTACTGTAGTTTCACGAAAATTACTACGCAAATGTAAACGATACATATTCTATTATTCGTATCATTTGTCATTTAATCAATCCAGCCCGAAGCGTCGCCCGGAAATAAACGTTCCCATTATAAATAGAAATTGCCGCGCTTTCCCTCTCACGGTCGGTTTAATCATAGCTCCGTTCTGAACGCGCCGTTTCGCCCGGGAACAACAGTCGTTAAACCTTTCCCCATTACCCTCGAATCGAAGGAACAAAACACGACGCGCGGTTCCAAAAAATTAATCAAACTTCGCCGGTAGAACGGAGCCACCGGTATCCGCGGAAACAACGGAGCCTTATTTCCCAACCTCCGCGGCGAAAGGTTGGAAGCCCGGACTTCCCTTCCCTCCCCCGCGGAACAGGAACAAAGAGTAAATTCTTTCCCGGCATCCAGGCGAGGTACGGACCGCCGCGAAACTTTTACCGAGAAGCCAGTCCTCGCCGGGACTGAATGTTTCTTTAAAATGGACCGGAGTCTGTTGCTTAAGTAATTTCCGGCGGATGGGACGTCTCGGCGGAGTTCAGCCCCTCGGATTCCGCCGAACCGCCCGGCCGCGCCGCGCAGGTAGCGTTTCCCCCGTTTTTCCGTGAGAGTGAAATATAATGGCGGTCTGGTATGCGCGCGTGTCCAATCTCGAAAGCTACCATCCGGCTTTATCCCGTCCATCTGCGCGGCGAGGAAAAAAGGGATGGGCGGTTTATTACTCGCGAACCCACGAGCAGCAGATATCAGTAATCCTTCGCTTAATATTTTTGCGGCGGGAGCCGAATTTGTTATGGTAATGCCCGGCCGTACGTCTTCCCCGACGGCTGGGCCGGACGCGCTCGCCGGAAGGGGCGCAAAAAAAGTATAACAAGTAAACAGGGAGGAAATGGACGTCGGGGGAAAGGGGACCGCTCGTGGGGAAGAGGACGATCACTGTCGCTGACGACCTGTTAACACGTTTATGGACTGTCAGAGAAATATCGCGCCCTCCGAGGGATCAGAATTGAATCATTCCCCGTGCTTAGGGCGGAACGGGGTTGCGTCTAGCGGCAACCCCGGTTACGGCCTGTCTTTATTCCGTGGAATTTTTAACGTTTAATGGCGCCTCGTTTCCCTGATTAAATACACGGACGACATGAAGGGGAATTATTTCGCGGCGATCGCTTTTAATTAATTTCGACGAATCGTTGCTTGCGTACTCGGTGATGATATCACATTTTTGTCCCCGCTCGCGTTTCAAAGAGCGTCGTTTTTGCGCGCGGAACGATCAGAACTCTCCGGCCGCGCGCTATAACGTTCTAATGTTTCACAGGAAAGGCACGGACCGGACGAGTTATTGTTGGAATAGAAAAAAATACGGAGCGATCGGGACGCGAGTGGAGGTCTGTGAAATTTTAGGAACGTGCTGATCGGATTAACCCGCTACGGACTAGGCTTTCCGGGAAGTTCCCTCGCAGCGGAAATTCTTGTTTGGTTTATGTTGCAGTTCACTTCGTTACTGACTTGCTGTTAGATTAAGGATTTTTCGGGAGAAAGTTTCATAAAGTGAATGATAAATAATTTGAGGGAATTCAGTCTGGTGCTTTAGCTTTATTTTCTCCAACATATCGCCTTAGTTAACCCCTTGCTGTACAATTACGAGTGAGACTCGTGATAAAGATTTCTAAACTGATTTAACAAGAATCAGTGTTGTTCATTACCCACGGATCAAAGCAAACAACTATTTTGCTGTTGTCAATGTATTATCTTCAAATGAAATTTCCACCTGAAGTAGAATGGAAAATTTTGTTGTATTTCTTACAAATTGTCGATAGTAAAATATTACACTAGCTTAGTAACGAAAGTAAATAGTACGCCAAGGGATTAATAATCGCATGTCCATCGAAGCACCAAATTTCAAAGTGACATTCTTCTAAAACGCTTAGTGAACCTTTTGCACTTCAGAGGTGACTCTCAATCACTGATTTGATATAATAAAATCACAAAGTGTAATATATAATATTAAATTTCGTATAATGCGTAAATAAATGAAACATTCACACAAAATAGCTTTGTTTCTTAATTTACGTATGTTTTCTCATTAGTTCGTTTCAAATAGTGTTGTCTAGTCTTAAACATTGAACATTTCTAGTGAAAAGCTTCCTAATGCAGAGGATTAATACGATTTACCGAAGAAAGACCAACAGATCCACAAACTTTCTCCAGAAACATTCACGTTTCTCAAACGGCTTAACGCTGCCGATGAATCGCAGTTCTAGCGACGCTGCACGCGGCAGAAAATTTTCGATGCGTTTCCACGGCAGCCGTTGGTCCCGCCGGTGAAACAGTGGGAAGTAGGTCGGTGCGATCATACGGTGGCCACTCTTGCAATAATAAACGCGCCGCGTGGCCGCTTCCATAAGATCGTATCGACCTATTTTCTGTTGCGTTCCCGCGCAAATGGCCGTGCTCGAAAGGAGGCTCGCGCGATCCCACCCCTATTCACGGGACGCTTCATCTCCATGGTTAATGACGGGGATTCATCATCGCCACCGAACGTCAGAAGGATGCTCGCGGGGCGCGCGTTCGCCCGGGAACCCGCGGGTTCCGACGTTTTAATTAACTTTTGTTTTTGGGTCACAGAATTTGATTCCCTCGTGTTTCGATGGTGAACGGGGCGAGGCGGCTAGAGGGACGGGGACGAAGGGAGAACGAAGGGACGCGGAGGGCGGAACTGTGTCGACGGGGCTGCGGAGACTGCGTTCGCTTCGTTCGAATTAATTTGCAGATTAATTTCGAGCCAGGAATCGAAATTTTCGGGATTGGCAGCTTGGAAATTGAACGTCACACACTTGTCGCTTGAATGTTAATCTCGTTCTCATCTTGAAGGCGGGCGAGACAAAATCAGCTGGGTGTCTTTTGACGAGGCGATAAGCTTCGTCGAATTCGCGCGGAGAAATTGCGAAGAAATTGAAAGTCTCGATCGGATGAGGCTTTTTTTTAGAAAATAAAGGTACTGTGGAATTTCCTTGAGTATAGTTGTACATGACTACCGAGCGTTTAATTGATATGTGATTCTTATTAAAGTTGTAACAGTAGATTATTCCAGGTTACTATAGATATACATCATTCAAAACTATTTCCAGTCATTTGGGATACTTAACACTAGAACCGAGCATTTAATACGATTAATATGTAATCCGTATAAAAATTGTGACAATAGCTTGTCAGTTGTTTTAGACACTCGTCATAGTATTCAAATGAAACTATTTATTTTCCAGATCATTTCAATTATTGAATGCGTTTGAGATACTAATAGTTGCGAAACAAAAAGATCAAAACCAGTCGTTTTGACTGATACAGTAGTTACCAGTGTAATCATTATATGTGTTAACAATTGTCAGCGAGGAATTTGTGGACACATTTGTTTGAGTTGCATTTGTCCAACGGATTCGAGTAGCTTTTGTACTTTAACGCCAACCATCGCGAAAAATCCGGGGAAAAGCACTCCAGTACACTGGATACCGCGGATAAAGGTCGCGGGTCGCGGTGCAGTCGTGAAATTTCCATGAAAATTAAAAGGCGGATCGATACACGGGAAATTGACATATGGCGACTCACGCTGGGGGATATTTTCATCTTGCCCCGACACTGCGCCCCGGTGCATCGCTGCGAAGATCGAGCCATCCGCCATAAATCAATCGACGCGAATCTATATCCTAATAAAAAGGAGCAACGTGGCCGGCTGTGTACCTGGGAGAAGATACCGCCGGGTGCACTTTGCCGCGGGGACGATACCGAGTACGCCTAACCGTACGGCAACATATTTTACCTTTAAACCTCGTTTCCCGTGGTCTTCGGCGTTCTGTAATATTACAGCGCCGGAACATTTTAGCGCGAGACGTCGCTGGATGGCAGTTTCCCTGGCACCAAACGAGAAACAAAATCCTGGTAGATCGTTCACTTTCACTTGAGCGAGGGAGCATTCTTTATTTAATAAAGGCTTGAAATTCAAGGTAAGAAACTACTCGCGAGCTTCTAGCTTCAGTTCCTTGAA